TATCCTACATCTCGTCATACATATCCTACATCTCGTCATACAAAAACGATCAAACTTTGTCAGTTCACACTCGCTCATGAAGTTTATAACAACTACTATAAAACGTTTACCTTTGACAAAAATGTAAAACAAATAAATAAGCGTGTTTTAAAAACAAACAAAACGAACGTACTAAACATTATGACAATGTTTTCACAGCCTGTCTCCAAAAACACAATATTTACATCAGTTATCACAGGTATATATAGACACTAAGCATTTAAGTAAAGTTTCCCGTTAATAGATCGATCAGGTATATTTGTTTTCAAATCGCTTTGTATTTACTCTGACAGGAACGGTTTTAAGAAAGCTAGCACTTAATTGATTGATCTTATAAATTTTATGAATAGTAAGCAACGCTTACATTGGTAATCAAATCGTTATATCTGTTTAAAAAGCAAAATTTAGAATTTTTTGATAGCTAAACTTTTTTATAAGTCTGAGCACTTACACATACATCCACCCCTCAAACTTGAATATTAGGATGCGTCCCAGCATGGTATGTTCGAGCGAGTTAGAACATCTTAGAGCGAATGTACTTTTCTACGTCAATGTAGATATAGCTGGCCCATACTTTCTTTGAAACGTTTTGATGAAGAACCATAGTTGTTTTTATTCAACTTAGCTACGGACGGCAATACACATTTGCTATATATATATATTTGAACGAACATATGATCCATTCCCATTTGTAAAACGTCCGATTTTACTATTCAGTTCACCCAACACCTGTATACTTAGCGTCTCTACCTTAAGTGAATGTCCCCATCCATTAACAATATATAACAATTGTCTTAATTAAAAACAGCGCTCTCTGCTTATCACGTCTTTGAAAAATCCTATACCAAAGGAACATTTACGTATGTTCATTCTGTACCTGAACTTACTAGTACACATGTACTATTTACGTGATGTCTGAGGATACCTGGTGGGAATTAATACGAAATTACGTATGTTGTGGCTGAAAATTTAACCGCGTCAAGGATCATTCAGTCAGAGAACCACATTATGAGATATAAGTTTCAATTATAAATCAAAAGTCTACGGGTGGCAAAGGACAAAAGTGCAATGGAGTTCCGCAGCTGTATATGACCCAGAAACAAGAGCTATTCGGTAGTAATAGTAGTAGTGGTATGCTATATGAGTACAATGATATAGAGCACCAGATTGGAGGCCTGCGTCCGCGTACCGCACAAGGCTGTTAACGTTGATGAGGACAGGTTTAGATCTCCATTCGGCAGTACCTGAGTCAAGGAAAGCATGGATGACAACGATGATGACGTTGCTGCTGATAATAATGATGATGACCTCCTGAAGAAATGTCAGTAATAAAACACATTCCAGAAAATAGCAAACGCAAAACAAGCTAGGTAAATGGACAGTGATATCCACCACAAGTACTGTTCGTGAAGTTTTTGTTCAAAGTTTTTCAAAACAACAAGTCCTATGGTTAGACCTGCTAGTGCCCCCATTAGATGAGCTGTGTATCCGACAGGTGGCGCCTTGTCCAAGCTGGAATATCGGTCCCAAATAGCGAAGCCAACATCTGCGCTAGCTGAAACAAATATGATAAAATCAACTTAAACAGCCTTGCTACAGCTTTCCAGTAAATAACAAACTGCACTGAAGTCGAAAAACTTCCAGAACCAACTGTGTCGCATACTGGTAATTTGCTGCTCTTTGGTAGAGATGAAACATGGCATATTTTGTCAGAAAACTCTTTGGATAAAGTGCGAAAATTGAACGAAAGTTAATCTCTGAGATAAAGAAAATTTATTTCATAATCATTAATATATTTTGATTGAGCACATGGCTATACTTTGCACACATTTACGAGAGAAAAAAATCATACACGGAGGCTGACCACAAATGATCAAGTGCGCGGACAACTGATGACTAATAAGGACGCATCGAAACATGTTTGACTATTAATTTACCTTAAATTTCACTCTCGCTTGCACGTTCCTAACATTGCTGTTCTATTTTATCAATGTTTATGGCAGTTCCTATCTAAGGATACATTTTCTATCGGGAGGTTCATCTGTGTTAGCGAGACTATAACATAAAATTGAACAGCAATTGAAACAAGCTTGGCTATCCAATATTAAGACAGCAATGGAGGACAGCTGGTAGTTAACACTTTCATTTTGATCACCGTGTTCATCCACCAGCAGTGAAACTATTTTTTTGTCCTGTCATTTTTAACTATTCAATATACTCCTCTCTCAAACACTTACCAACAACAAGAACAGCTGCCAATTTCAATACACCAAACTCCATATGAGTATAATTCTGAAACGACATGTCATAGTTTTCAACAGCAATATTTAAAATAAACCATTCGTTAGTTGATTATTGCATAATTTGTGTACATTATTCCGGTTAAAGGGAAACAACTCAAGTTGACTTAATCTGTTTTTTATAATAGGAGTGACTTCCCTTGGAACACTTACCAGCATGACATTTGCAAGATGAGCTGCTAATAAAGCGTACACCCCTCCTGAGGCCCCAACTAGATACACTTTGATGTCGAACACTGACGTCCCTAGAGACCCTGCCAATGGAACAAAATACACACAATGTTTCAACTACAATAACAATGATGAGACGCTGTTTTATGAAAGTTATGGAACCCAGTCCCGGAATTACAAAATCAATTTGAATCTAGTTTTAGATTGATCGAGAGTAAATCTGAAATTTAAGAAAGTTTATGTTAAGAATTTTCTAAGAGTTAAGAGGATCTGTTAACATCGGTCCTGACAAGATTCCACCAGAATGACAAGTTACACAAACTACTAGGTTTGAGCTGTTGATGTAATTTACAATAACAACTGAAACAATACATGACAACTATAATGCAAGTGTAGCAGTGTTCAATGGTTACAAGGCAATCTGTGTAAAGTACAAGATTGTTTTTTAAAAGAAATCATTGTTTTAACATAAAAATTAACAATTCATCATTTAGAGAAAACAACATCAACACGAAAGGCAGTTTAAAAGTATGCAACTACCAAAGTATTTTTGGTAAAACGTTTAGATCAGATGAACTTGTCAACCTAGGAAGAAAGCACTTTTTACCTGCAAGAACTCCAGCCAGATACACAAGTACAATCCGGAAAGAACCATGAACCATCTCCAAGGGAATACCAACGATTATTTGTACCAACATGTTGAAAAATAAATGTACCCACCTGGAACAAAACAGTTTTTGTATGAACAATGCATGGACGGTTCATGACACATCATCCCAAGTTCATCAGAATTAGTTTCCACACATGCAACGAAGTATGTTTTTTAGAACAGACATGTTTAGTATACACATGACTATAGAGGTATCGTCGGTAACTACATTGAATGTCGCCATACTCTGTCGGAAAATATACATTTTTATCCTTATGCTTACATTCTTCACAACACAGAAAATACAACTTTGTTATCTTATGAGTTTTTTTCTTGCGCTTATAACATTTTTTCAGGCATTAGGAACATTATTTTCTTGAGGAATAAACCCTTGTTTTCTATGACTTCCTTTCTTGGTCATCGCCAAATTCTGGTCTTGTCTTGCCGTCGTAACATTTTTATTTCATATGTATTTTATTTATTTGGGATTTGATGCAACGTACCCGGCATGTATGAACATATAGAAGATGAACCTCCACAGCTGTAGGCGGCGGTCGGGACGGTAGATAAAGACGCTTTCCACAGGGACGGGACCGGTGGGGGTAATGTTGTTGGCCTCCAGGCAGTGATACACAAAGAATCCCACCTGTAAGATCGTGAACAAGCTCTACACACCGATTTACTGATAAAGATGTAACAACACTACAAATGACACTAATGACGCACAGGATAGGTATGAACTCGGTTTCTATATCAAAATAACACTTAATACAGGTATTATTTCTGTGTTAATACAAAAATGAAATTAAAGAACAGTTATATTCTTTTGTAAATATCAAACGGATACTAAATTAGATTGATTCAGTGCTAATATCAAGGCATTAAAGAAAAGATACGGATAACGTATAAATATCCCAATGACGCTTTAAAAAATATGTGAATTTCAAATGATTAT